CATGGCCGCGGTGAGCGAGACCGACGACGCTCGCGGTATGCATCTCGATCTCGGTCTCGGTCTCGACTGCGTAAAGTCGAGCTGTGGCTGCGCGAGGTGTGTTGGTCAAGCACGCTCTTGCGCTTGGTCGCCTCGGCGTACCTGTTGACCGGCAGTTCTTCGTCCGAGTCGGTGCGGTTGCGTCGATGGGAGCGGTCGGATGTGGGAAGTGGATGGCGCGAGTCGCGCGTGCTGTCATGCTTGTCGTCGCGATGACCTTGATGCCTGCGTTGCTCCCTCTCTGCTCGGATCCGCGCGCGCTCCTGCTTGCGTCTGGCCTTTTCCTCCTTGTCTCTTACACGCGCTGCATCTTGATTGTCGTCGTGTGCCTTGCGCTTTTGGTCGCTCTTGACGCGCTGAAAGTACGCCGCCATGGGGTCCTCGAGGTCGTGCTCATCTGCACCATCATCTTGTTCGGTCAGCACGTGCGAGGGTGCGGCATTGAGACTCTTCTGGTCGGGTTCGACGAGCTGGCCGTCGGCATCGCGCATCTTGGGCTGCTTGTAGCTCGCCACATGGTCTACACGCAGCGTGCGGCCGAGCACCTGTGCGCCGTTGAGGTTGTCGACCGCCAGCACGGTGGAGCGCTGATCCTCGTACATGAGAAAGCCGAAGCCGCGGTGCTTTCCCTTGCCCTGCCTTGGCTGTGGTGCATCGCGTGATGTGGAAGCTGAGCCTGACTGCTTGTCTTCGGAGTTGCTAGGCTGCTGCGTTGGGCGCGGGAGGTTGACATCGACCACCTCGCCGTACTGCGAAAAGATGGCGATCACGTCGCCCTCGGTGAGGTCGTAGGGGAGGCCGCCGATGAAGATGTACGCCGAATCGCGGTACTGCTCGTGCCAGGATGCGGAGGGGTTCTTGATGGCGATGTCGAGCTCGGCTGCGTTGATGCGGCTGATCTCGCGCACCACGTTCATGGCGGGCCCGAGATGGCTGGGGAGGATGATGGTGTTGGTAGTCGTGGTGGAGGGAGCCTTCCAAAAAGAAATGCATTTACAGGAAATTCCCGCCGAAAAATCCAAATTAATTGATTAATTGATTAATTGGGCTGCTAACCCCTGAGAAAAGCAGTTGCGGTCGAGCCACACGCAGCCCTCTTCGCTGAGAGTGGAGATAGGCAGAGAGAGAGAGAGAGAGAAAG